TCCCTACCAAATAATGGAATGTTTCATTTTTCACCTAAAGAAAGAGGCTCTTCCTAATAGATACTTAACAGCTTACACTTCACAGATGTTACTAGGCAAAGCCACAGCTAGTAATCTTAATGGCTTTTGGGGGGGGGGGGGAAGCTTCCTGCTGGATGCCTTGTGGCCCTGCCACACTCTACCTCAGAAAAGGGCCACGAGGTGTTCAGCAAGTCCTTCAAGTTCACTAGAGTGGCTGTGTGGGAAGCAACCAATCAGGGCCCAGCAGGCTGGTATAAGAAGAGCTGCAGGGGCAGATTGTGATTAGTTCCTTGCTAGAGCAGGAGGAGAGTGGATGGTGCTCCAGGCTGGCTGCTGGGACTCCACTAAACAAGCCCTGAGGGAAAGGTGAAGAAGGTGCTGGCACCACAGAAAGGTGGGACAAGTAACTGTAGAAGCAACACAGTTTATTTAAAGGGATATGGCAGATAGCTGCTCTCCATAGGCTTCCTGGGCTGGGACCAGGAGTAGAAGGTAGGAAAGACCCATCATAAATAAGTAGAGTGTGTGTGCAGTAGGAATATAAAGGGTTAGCTGCTATCCATAGGCTTCCTGGGCTGGGACCAGGAGTAGAAGGTAGGAAAGACCCATCATAAATAAGTAGAGTGTGTGTGCAGTAGGAATATAAAGGGTTAACTGGTTAACAGATTACCTGGTAAGCATTTGCTCTACTAGCATGGTTACCAGGATAACAGGTTACACCCAGTGGGGGACTGCTCCAGTCCCCCACCCCACAGCGTGGTGGCTCAGTCTGGACAGAGTAGCCCTCGCCCATGGTACAGCAGGCTCAGCCCAGCCTGGCCAGAGCATTCCCCACCGGCAGTGCAGCAAACTCAGCTGAAGCAGCCCATGGTGTGGTGGGCGCAGACAAGCTGGAGCAGCCCCCTGCCATGGAATTACAGTTAACCAGTTAAACTTACTGTTTAACCAGTTAACTTTTTAACCAGGATTTTATATCCCTAGTGTGCAGGGACTCACACACAGCCAGGGGGAGCTTATAAGAGAGGAGTGTACCCCATTACACAACTCTAGCCTGCTCTCCTGGCTAAGCAACACCCAAAAAAACTTGTTTAAACAGGCTGGATCAGACCAAGGTCTGATCTACCCTTAAAAATATTGTCAATCTGGCTATGTCGTTCTGACCTGTGCAAATTTCATGCTCTGGGCATCATAATTAGAACTACTGCCAAAGCTCCATTGTAGACACAGACAGATAGATGGAAGAATTTTTCCACTGACCTATCTACCTACACTGATGGAAAAACTGCTTCTGTGATGTAGGAAGCATCTATGCTATGGCACTACAGGCAACTGTAGTGTGGCTACATCCTCAGTTTTCTTCTGTACTTGCAACTTAAGAAGAAAGCCTATAGCTATATGAAGCATAAAATTAGATCAGATGTCATAGATATGTTGTCTGTTTATTGTTTTTAATTCCTCTTTCTCTAATTGTTTGTTCCAACTGCAGAGTAAAAATACTCTGTATTAAGAAGGTCAGTTTCATAGAACACAGATTCCTGAAAGGAAGAAACACAGGTGTCCAAAATGCAGAGCTGCAGGATGATAAACAGCTGGTTTGCAGAAAGCTACGTGCCTGGATTCCAGTCTAAAGTGGAGAAATTCCAAGATTCTATCCTAAAACAGGTAAGGGGAAAAGACCCCAAGACCTGAAGTGAATGCACCCGGAGATATCTAAACTGCAATGTGAGCCCAAGCTTAATGGGACTCAAGTCAACTGGCCTGAGTTAAGAAACTTTGGGCTTGAGTGTCTATGTTAAATTTATACTCTATATTAAGACTTTTCTAACCTGTGTTCAAACCGAGGGCTCTGGCATCCCCTATGCACAGACCTGGGTCAAAGTAACCATATCCCAGAGCTCCTAGCATCCTTCCTCTCCACCCCCAAAATGTCACCACTCTATTCCAAAGACAAGGAAAGTCCATCAGATTCAGAGTTTTCAGAGGAAATAAAATAAAGTTAAGTTAATGAATCGAAATCTTGTGTGCCACAGGGAGATGAAGCAGAAACACTTGTTTTCACCATTTTCAAATGCATCTTTTGCTGCAGCTACTGCCTTGTCAACATCAGCCACGGAAGCATAAGATACCTTGGCTATTATCTGTCACAAGACAGCTAAGTATTAGCTGACAGTGTTGCATACAATGCTTCTTTTTTTCTTTTTTGTAATTGAATATATACAAACATTTAATATTGTCATGGCTACCTATTATACCTAGCTCAACCAGGTTCAGAAAAGCTCAGACACCACTGATGGTGGAATTCAGAGTAGTGTGTGAACTGTCAGAATTCTGGATCTCTCTATCCACAAACTCTTCTAATAGCAGAGATCACTCTCATGCCTTTTTTTATTTATTCAACTATCACATGAACTTACTGATGTGATGCTGTGGAAGTGGAAAAGCTTAATGTCTGGTATGGCAATAGAATGCCTAAAAATTCTAGAATATCATCTGGATATGGCTTCTTCAGAATGGTATATTTGTTACATGTATCATCATAGACGGGTAGTTGTCCTTGAGATGCGTAAAGATAATACTAAACAGGTGTGGCTGTACTTGAATCTAGCCTCTTTAACAGCAGTACAACTAGCTCCACTGACTTCAGTGGAATTCAGTTACTCCTGATTTACAGTGGCATATATGAGATCAGAATTCTGGCTGTTATTTATAACTTTGCAGTTAACAGTCAGCCAAGATTTGGTACTTCTTGAAATACATATTATTTTCATACTGAGGAGTCATTTTTAAATGTGATTTAAAAGAACACTTTCAGGTTCAATTTGGCCTAAACTGTGAGATTTGTAAAAATAAGCTTTTACAAAACTTCTGATCAACAGAGATGTGTCCATGAAACTTTAAAAAAAAAAAAAAAAGTAGAAACACTTTTTAAAAGAACAAATCATCACCTCCCTATTCTGTCTAAATAACCAAATAGTGCAACACTAAGAATGAGAACCTGCTAGTGAAACTGACTTGAAATAGATTATAAAGTGAAATTAATCATCCCAATTTCCACTGTGTGGCCTAAGATGCAAAAAGTGAATAAAAACATAAAAACTAAAAAGTAAATTAGATTTCAAAAATGTCATAATCTTTTAGTCATCTTGAAATGTTAATAATTTCATGTTTTGATTACAAAATAGTAAACAATTTTAATGTACCACCTGATTTTCATCTTCGCAATATCCTGTTAATATTTTAGATTATCCAGATATGTAATATTCAAAATAAGTGAATATTTATCATATGCAAAATTTACTTACTGATCCATCTGTCGGGTTTATAGTGTCATACGTTTTTCCATCTTCAGCATTCATAAATTGTCCATTTATAAAACACTGGTAAGGCATCTTCACAGTCATATTGTTAACATTTTTTGAAATCTAACAGTGAAAGAAACCCAACATTACTCAGTGTTGCCATTTCTCCTGACTGTTGTTGTTTTTCTTAAAGTGCCATCTCCTGGAGTTAAGTGCTGGCAGCTCCTCTCAGCTGGGCAGCTGTACTGCCCCAGCTGCATCTCCTGTTTGGGACTATACATCCCGCTGGGGATAATACAGCAGCACAGCTGGGAGAAGCTGTTGGCATGTGGCTCTGGCTCCTGGGAGCAGCAACACCACACTCCTCTCCTTTGGTCACAGCATCTCCTTGAAGTAGAGCCCTGTGGATCAGCAGCTACCAATTTCTATCTGCAGATATCTGCATCTGCAGGTAGACATTTGTATCTGTGCAGAGCTACACTCATGTCTATGGAGAAAGCTTCAAAATGTGACCTCAATGCATCCTAAAGACTCAAAAAGCAGAAGGGAAACAAAACACTTTATATTACTATTGTTACATTAATTTTATGATTTTTTTGATGAGCCCAATTCATGACTTCTGAACATTTGGGACTGGCAATACTATACCTGCAACATGCAAAACTACATAACTAATATCATTTGTAACTTTAACATACATAACTACATTTCAGACAAAGTACCAGGATGCATATAGCTATCAGTATTCATCACTAAAGCAAAACTAATAGAAATTGTACTTTCTCTAAGAAGGGCATAAACTATGTGACAGATTAATTAATTTTTATAGTATTACTAGTGGATACTCAGGATAAAATCACCATTAGCATCTCCATACTGTAAGTTATTTAAGTAGGTGTGTGACTAAGTATGTTTGTAATCCAACTGACATCAATGGGCCTACTTATGGGTGACTCTGAGGGCATGTCTACACAGCAGGGCTAAAACGGAAATAAGCTACGCAACTTGAGCTATGTCAATTGCATAGCTTAAGTTGAAATAGTTTGACTTTTGGCACAGCCTACACAGCAGGAAGTCTGAGGTAGAGCACTCTTTCTCCGTCTTCCCTTACTCCTCTTCTATTGAGGGTTACAAGAGTTGGAGTAAGAAGTCCTCTAGCTTGCAATTATTTCAACATTATGTCGAAATAACTGCTTGTAGTGTAGATGCAGACTTTGTTATTTTGGAATATATTGTCAGTTATTCCAAAATAACACTGCTGTATAGACATAGCCTAAGAACTCCTTTATGACAATTAGCAAAGGGCTCACCCAACACACTGTTGGCAGAATATCTAGCCAAGAAGGGACATGCAAGGTATTATATGAAAACTGGTGACAAGCTAGTCATGAATATTGCTGTGTGATGTATGTACAAGTTGTGCATAAAGTGTGCTGGAAATAAGTTCTTATAATATGTTTTAGAGGCAGCTAATAAACAAGCATTCCCTAAGCAAAGGGATATAGATTTAATTGTTTGCATGTTTAGTTTTACTGAATACCGTTTCACTACTGTTATGTTGAAGTAAACTCTGGGTTTTCAGCTAAATTAACAGGCAGGTTGTTTCAGCCAAATCATAAGCAAAATGGAACAGAAGATTTTTGTGCCTTTAAATCCAATCTCATTTGATTGACAACAATGGAAATTTTTCCACTAACTACAACATTATTGGATCAATCCTTTAGAGAGGAGTGATCACAAACATATGGATCTGAATGTATTCCTGGGACTGCATTATCTTAAGTCCTGGTGCTTTCCGGAGGATGCACATCTGTATGCTTACCCTGTCTCTCTATTTCCCCCCTTTTTAACAGTATTCCGTTAAAAAGAAATGATATTCCCTGAAACAGGGGAACCTTGAATATTGGAGCTTAAGGTGTGACTGGTCACACTTGGGGTGTAATTTTTAATGTGATGCCATTTAATTTAAGTTACACATCCCCTTGTTTTTGTATCGTGAGAGTGAGACAGATGAAATTGTAATTATGTGCTATGTCTTTTTTCTTTACAGTGTTGCCAACATGCATAATTTGGTCATGAGTCTCCTGATAATTACTGTTTTCCTTAAAGCCCCAGCTCCTGGAATCAAGTGAGATGAGGTGATTTCCACCTTTTTTCTTAAAGGAAAAGGTAAGTTTCTAGCCCTTGTAGCTGCAGAAGGCAAATAAAGAACACCAAATCTACTATTTTTACATGATCTCAAGATTTTAAAGTCAATCTCATGATTTTTAGTGAGCCTGACTCATGATTTTTGAACTTTTGGGGTTGGCAATACTGTCTCGAAGAAGCACGGTGCAAGAGGAGGGGTGAGGCTGAGAGCTGTAAACCACTTGTGCACCTCCCAAATCCTGGGAAGCCTTCAGAGGCTAGATTCTAACAGTCATTTTGGTTTGCACTATGGTAGCAGCACTTCCCAGAATCTCTGCAGCTACATCCCCTTCCGCCCCCTACTCAGGCCATGGTTTCTTAGAGAGTCTGCTGCTGTTTTCCTCAGAAAAGCAGATGTTCTGTGGGAACGATGACCGAGATACATGAGCAAGGCACTCCAGAGAAGTGAATCCACCCACTGCTATTGATCTCCTAGTTTCATGAACAACAGAATTCACCAATTTTCATCTCCATTCCCAGTCACAACTATAGGAATGAAACCAACACTCCATAAAAGAAAGTGTGCAAAATGTCATACAACCAAAAAAGGCTTACATAATCTATGACTAACTCTTCTTCTTTGTCCTCTCCCCTCAGCTTCCTCACAGCCATCTGAATAAAGTCTGCAAACTTAGTGGCCATATACACATCTTCATTCTGCAGCTGAAGTCCACTGTATTTTTGTTTGATCTCTTCAATCATTCTTAAAATTGCAGAAAAATAATACGTTGAATTTGACATGAAGTATTGTTCAGATAGGTAAATTATTCAGAGGAGTTGGGTTTTGTATGGATTCTTTTGTCTGCATTCTGTTACTCTATAGCTGTGCCATAATACTTCAGCCCTTAGGCTAAATGATGCACTCAATTATACAGTGCAATTGTGTAAGTGTTACTAAGGGCAAAATTTGGCCCAATGGCTTTGAAATACTCTGAGGTAACATTTTAGGAATAAATGGCAAATGATGGACATATGTCATGTGTAATGGGGTGTGTTCTGCTCCTTCCTTCTAGCTTCACAGAAACTGCTTGAACTCCAATCAGTTAGTTATCCACACGGTACAGATTAGTTCAGATCTCTGTCCCAATCCCTTCACAGTTCGGTGCAGCAACACTATTTGCAGCATCCCTTGTATTGTCATCCCTGTCCACAGGGTTGGAGAGGAGAAAAGATCTCCCTTCCTTCAGAGCTCTAAGTCTGGATTCAGATTCAGCCGTGTTCTTCAAGCCTAGCATTTTATTCCTGTGCCTTTTTAATCACTCCTCAGATGATGGGCTAACTAATCTATTAGCTCACCCAGTCTGATTAGAAGATTACATTTTATTCCCCATTCAGACCTCACTGGGGAAACCAATTAGTACCAGAGAGCTCAGAGTGCTGGCTGACGGGCTAGCTCCCAGCCCTGTTGCATGATGAAAGCATTACTCAGGCTATCTAGTATAGTTTATGAGTTGTGACTCGTAACTTTTGGTGGATTATTAATAACGACAATTTTGGTAAAACTCTCAAGGGCTGATCATGTGATGGCTGTGAACATTTGGGTTAGAGAAAGAAGCGATGCTCAGTGCTGTGACCTGACACAGTATGATGACCACATTGCATTTGGAAGTAGTAGGCTTCCTTGTGCACATTCACAATGACCTCAATGGGAGTTCTGCATGCAGCTGCAGAACTGGGCCCACAGATTTGAAATCGCTGTCAGGGATCTATGGTAGACTCCCCCAAAATATCTCCCACGACACTCCCTTGGTTTTGGGGCTAACCATGCCCTTGTTATTCAGGCAAAACTCCCACTGAGGCAATGTCATTGGAATGAATGAGTGTATTTCCTGAGAAAGTAGGGCCAGGGCCTAGTCTTGCACTGACTTTGGCAGGTGAAGACTCCCATTTACACTGGGATTCCTTATTAGGTTTTTGGAAAGGAAATAGTTAATGCGGTGAAAAATATATTTAAATAATCGTTTAATAATAATCTTTATTGTTTGTGACTTCTGAGAGGCAATGTCATTGGAATGAATGAGTGTATTTCCTGAGAAAGTAGGGCCAGGGCCTAGTCTTGCACTGACTTTGGCAGGTGAAGACTCCCATTTACACTGGGATTCCTTATTAGGTTTTTGGAAAGGAAATAGTTAATGCGGTGAAAAATATATTTAAATAATCGTTTAATAATAATCTTTATTGTTTGTGACTTCTGATTGGGGTGGGGGGGGGGGGGGGGGAGAGGTTAAGGAAAGGAAAAATCAGATACTGTGAGAACCATAACAAGTTCATGATCACTATTGCTTAGAAACATGATTATTTAAAATATGAGTTACCTGACAACATGCATCGAGGATGCTCCAGATTTGAAGAAGTCTGTAGAATCCTCAATTACAGCCACATTACTCAAAATTCCCTTCCAAATGGACTAAAAAAATATAGAAAGTAAATGAGACATTAATACAAACAATATGTCCTCTAATGGCATAAAGCATCAGTTCGAGGACACTAATGTATGTTTGCATATATATATTTTTAAACACATCAGCTTCTCTAAAATCAGTTACTTCTAGGGATCCTTAAAGAGAAAGACAGAAAAGCAAATGAGCTTTTTTTGCTATAACCATCATGGTAATAATTTGCATTTACACCAGTTTACATTTTTTAGCGTGGCAAGTGAAATTATGATTGACCCTTTGGCCTGAGCAGTTAACCAGTAGGCAGGGCCTTGCAGGTTTGTTTTGATTGGGTAACGAGCGTTATGAGTTGTCAATGAGTACGAGCTATTAATTTGTTGCAATCAGAGGCAGTAGAATAGGGAAGACAGTTGCTGCATTCCCCACAGTGGGAATATTGCAGGTGTTGATATATATTTCCCCTCCTACAAGAGCTCATGGAAGTGAGGGTAGAACCTGGTTATGTTTCCACCACTGTGTGCATGGGGGGCAGAGGTGAGAGGGGAACCCAGGGGAGGGGCTGTAGATCATATTTTTCTCCTCCCACCTTCCAGTGGCTGCAGTTCCCAGCAGACACCCAGCCTAGCGTAGGGCACATAATCTTACCCCTATCTGATGAGGTAGAGGAGAGTGCACAGATACCTGGACTAGGCACAGGGGAGCACTGGCATGCAGGGCATCAGTGGCTGAAGAACTGCTGGGACACCCATGCCCAACCTGGGCTATCCCCCTGCTGTGCTACAGTAGCTCCCCTCCCTCTCCCTTCTATCTCTTCATGTGCACCCCCCCATACACATCCAGCTTCTACTCCGCAATCGTGATTATTTACAAACATAGCCATAGTTTGACTTCTGTATGTGGGGGAGGAGGTAGGAGAAGAGGTGACGTGGGGGGAATGTGGGGATATGTGTCCCCCAATGCCGATGTGGGGAGAGTTCATGAGGTCATGTGCACCAGGGAAGTAGAGGCAACATGTTTCAAACTGTGCAGAGCGCCCTAGAGGGACATACCCCACAGTTTGAAAACCATTGCTTCCTGGCAGAAGCCAGCAGTTTGGAAGCTGGTGGGAACTACTAGAGCCTTGATTCCTTGTGCTGAGGGAGCTGGGGTGCTCCCTGTCCTACTCCTTAAACAAGGCCACAACTGCACAGCCAGGCACACTGCTGGCAGAGCTGGCTGCACAGAGCTCTTGCCTTTCCCCCAAAAGAACCTGGTGCCAGCTGGCAATGCTCACTCAAACTGACTCCTGCCCTGGGAGCTCAGCTGCCACGAGCTGCTCCCTGAGAGGCTCGTTTGCCTCTTCCCTGGCACTCCTGGCTCTGCTGCTGCTCCTGAGGGCTCAGGCATCAGCGAGTGATTGCCCAGGGAGCAATGTTTAAGTTGGTATAATTAGATTTCAAGTAGTATCCACTGAGCAAACAGGGTAGTTCACATCTCTAAGAAATACTGTTTCATAGACTCAAGCAGAGTCTAAGCCTATGTCAACTTAGCCCCACAGTTCAGTCTAAAGAAGGCTGAACAGCATTGCGCACCCAAGTGCTGAGCTTCAACTCCTCTGTGTGCACACTGCAGGCACAAACTAAAGGGTTCTTGTTCACATGAATGTTGTCCTGCCTGAGGACTCCACCAAAGAGTGCTAGGAACTGTGATGCACTTCTTGTACGTGGCACATTAGAGGTCTGCTACTAGCCAGAGAGGCCTCCGTATCATGAATCAAAGGCTAACGACAGGGCTTCCTTCTCAGAAAGATACACAAGAAAGGTGTCTTCTGTAAGATCCTTTAAAGTTCTGCCAAAGATCCTCTAGGCTGCGTCTAGACTGGCATGATTTTGCGCAAAAGCGGCTGCTTTTGAGCAAAATCTTGCCGTCTGTCTACACTGGCCACGAGTATTTGCGCAAGAACAGTGACTTTGTAATGTACAAAATCAGTGGTTCTTGCACAAATACTCTGATGTTCCCGCTCAGGGATAAGCCCTCTTGCGCAAGAGGGCTTATCCCTGAGCGGGAACATCAGAGTATTTGTGCAAGAACCACTGATTTTGTACATTACAAAGTCACTGTTCTTGCGCAAATACTCGTGGCCAGTGTAGACAGACGGCAAGATTTTGCTCAAAAGCAGCCGCTTTTGCGCAAAATCATGCCAGTCTAGACGCAGCCCTCATGTTCTGCCACATATGGCTGCCGCTTAGTGGCTGAACAGTATAATGGGGGAGGGGAGGCACAGTGTGCTGGAACATTTAAGTATGAGCCTGCAGCATCCCCACAGGGGAGTCCAGCAGACCACTTCCCTGTGCAATGATATTCACAGCCCCGGAGTCCAAACTGCAGGACAGCGTAGACAAGCCCTTCTATTCTGTTTTAGAAATAGAATCAAAGCTTGCTAATGAATCTTTCTGTGGAAAAAAAACAGCCTTCACTTCTCCAGATCTGTTTGGTAACTGAAGGCCCCACTGAGGGGGCAGAGGTCATGGTGGTTCTCTGACTATGCTTTGAAGTGTGTCTACCTCAATCAAACCATGTATCTAAAACCATTCTTCTCCACTTGGTCTTCAGAATCAATCACTTATAGATCATGAAAAAAGTTTCTAGGACCATACATACATCTGTGAACACCTAAAGTCCAAACACACCTGAATTAATTTCAATGGCTTAACATTAATTCTTGTACTTTTGCATATATTTTGTTAAGAAATAATTTGCATGTTAAATAAAAGTTATATCATGTCTGTATCTAGACATCTTTAATGGTTTTCTGCAAACTAATATCCTGCTAAGCCAGTTTACAGAATTACCTTGATATCTTCTGCCATAATTTTCTCCTCTTCTGTAAGTTCTATGACAGACATCTCATCAGCTGAAAAGTATTTAGATGCAGGGATCATTTTTCCATCCTCAAATTGTAGATTTCTCACCAGCAACTGAAAAAGAGGGGATATGATTTAAGTTGGTGAGAAGGCTGTAAAATGTACTAGAGAAACTAATGTGTTAATTCAAATAATAATGAAATAAGTGTCTTATAGGAAATACAAATTTGTGCTAAAGGTATTTTTGATAGGTGATAGGCCAAAGGCCGGTTAGGATCAATGGGACATGAATGCAGACCTGTAAGGCCACCAGATAATCGCCATCTCCACACATGGTTCCAATGGTATCTGGAATCTGATTACTCCCTGTAAACCAGTGGTTCTCAAACTTTTTGGCCCACAGCTCACCCTGCTCAATGCAGACTTTTCCATGGACCACTGGCCAGCTACCCATGATGACAAAATGGGTGCAAGAAGGAGTGATGGTGCACAGTCTGGGAGGGAGGGGAATGGGGGTGCACTTATCTAGCTCCATGCCTCCCACCACTCCCAGGCACTGCCACTCACTGGCAGTGATTCTGGTCAATGGCAGCAGTGGGGAAAACCTCCAGGTGAGCGGTTTCCTGTACTGCCATTCCCCCAGCTGGCGGAAAGGGGTGGGGGAGTGGCAGCGTACAGAGCCTCTTCCTTCTCTCGCAAGTCAGATGCAGCCCACAAAGCTTGCCCCTCTCTTTGCCACAGTGTGAAGCCAGCGCTGGTGCTTCAACATCATGGGAGGAGCCATGGGGCTGGAGCATCAGTACAGGTTCCCCACTGTGGCCGGGGACAAGCCCATTGCCCACAGCTCACCTGCAAGAAGGTCCCGGACCACACTTTGAGAACCACTGCTGTAAGCAATAATCTGCAGAGGTTCAATGCCACGGGAAGTTCTACCTAGAGTGGTCTGACACTGGTTTTAGCAATCCCTGATGGGTACCTTGTCCCTCTACAGTGTGTGTGGGGTGGGACCTAAGGCCCAGGGGCCAGATGCGGTCCTCAGCTTGCCTGGATTCAGCCTCCAGGGCTCCTTCCCCCCCCAGCATTGGGGAGCCCACGCTGCCCCCCTCCTCCGACTGATTTTTTCTGTGGGTCAGCAGCTCCTGACCTAAAAAAGGTTCCCCACCCCTGCTCTACAAGTCCATGGGACATACGAGCAAGGTCCCAGGCAACAATGAGAATCCTTAGCTATGGGTCATGACTGCCCCGCTTCTCCATTACACAACTCCGGGTTCTCATCTCAGCTCTGACTTGGATTCTGACTCCCAACCAAGCCCAAGAACTCTAGCATGGAGCTAATACGTGGTATTTACCCTCATCCCAACTCCTGACTCTGTTTCTTACCTCAGCTTAGCTCATGACTCTGACTTAACTTTCAGCTTGATTCTTGACTCTAATTCTGGCTTTGACCCCCGGCTTCATTTCTAGCATCCAAGCTCTGGCTGCTAGTCCTGCCTGCTTTTACCCAGGATCCTGACAATGCTTAAGATAAAGAACAGAATAGCATTTAGCTCTCCCCATGCAATAACATAAGACGGATGTGTTCATGGCTGATTTGCAGACTGTTAGCAGCAGCACTTGCAAAGGTTACATCTGGATTTAAATGGAATGATATTTCCATACAGTTTACATTTTTTCCTAATGTTGCTCAGTTCATACTGATTTTCATCCCACCTACTCACCCCAACCCTCCAGCTACACTCTTTATCTTGTTGCACACTTACCATCTTCCCATCATTACCAAAAAGAACTAGGCCATTTTTGGTTATAAGCCCAGGTTTTGTGGGGCCTTTTATTTCCAAGGATTGTCCAGGAGGCACTGCTCCATCAAGTAATGATGACCCATAGAAAGTAACCATCTACAAAAGAAAAAAAATAACAGATGAATAGTCTCTAAATCTCTGTCAGCATGCTGAAAATGCACTGGCACTGTTTTCCTGTTGTTAATGAGGGATAAGCCTTTGGTTTCCTTTACTTGTAAACTGCAAAAACTGTATGATTATATTATCCATGGGGCTTCACAATCCAGCAAATGCAAACCTTTGTCCAAATGCAAGTCCAGGAAAATCCTGTAACAGCAATGTAACATCTGTCAAGGCCCTTGTTTCTTGTCTTCTTACATCAAAAGCCTTGGGAGGCAAACATAATATTCATCTGGGTGGGTCTACACTACACAGCTTTTAGCGACAACACAGCCCTGTTGCTAAAAATCAGCCTGTATGAATGCTTTTTTGGGGCATTTTTGACAACAAAATACTTCCACCCGCAATGAGTAAGTTTCGCTTTCTCAGGAGGAGAGTGCTCCTGCCCACAAAGCAGCATTCACAAGTGCACTTGCCATGAACCTTATTCATGGGTCTGGGGAGATGTTTAAGCACCGGTGAATGACAAAAGTTGTGTCGAGAAAGTGCAATTGTAGGCACAGTCTTAGTGTATACACACTGCTTATCAGAGTGGGGCACAGATCCTGATTAGAGCCTTGGGCAATATAGTAATATAAATATTAAATAATAATTACAATGACTAAATTGAGTATAGAGAATCTCTTAAATGTTATTTAGAAGGACTCAACTGGGAGCACTGCTGTGGACCTATGCAAGGGACAAAGAGCCTTACTCCCCTGGACAGGCTGCCAACTTCACCACAGCCTGTGGGGGCGGGATAGCAGGTGCTAACCCACTGCCACTCCCTCTCTTATCCCAGTGAGTAAGGAGTAGTAGGGCAAATGTAGGGATTGGGCAGAGCTTTGGTTCTGATCCAAATGCACCAATGAGCACAAGGAAGCTAGTGCAAAAAAGGATGCAATTTGAGCTGGAATAGACTGGTGCAGATGATCTTCCCCAGTCCTGGGCAAAGAGGAACCAGGACTAGACTGTGACTATCAGAATCACAATCTGATTCCTACCCTGTTCCTGGGGCAGTGCACCCACCTGTGCGCTGCTGCTTACTTGGGCTGGACTGTAGGGTTAGAATACAGACCACAGGGAAAGCCTACCAAGAGCTGTTTTGTAGCTAAACAACTACAGTGCAGCCATGAAAGATACTGTGATGTGGTTTCAGACCTGCCTCCATGCTGGTGGCTGAGCTAGATGACCTCTTCAGTTTCCTATGTTGATATGACTTTAAACCTAGGATTATTTAATCAAGGACAGATTGCCTTTTATCAAATGAAAAACAGCAGCTTTGGGATAAAAGGTGATTTACTTTTCTTTCTGGTAAATGGTTTGAGCATTTAAGGCACAAATCCTTTAACTATATTTCATTTTGTATTTCAGAAGCTCACAGTATTATCTCTGGTGTATTCCTGAGACACCTGTAACTCATTATGAAGAGTAATATCTACCTATTTCCTACACTGTGGGTGTGTCTAGACTACATGCCTCCTTCGACGGAGGCATGTAGATTAGCCAGATCGGAAGGGGGAAATGAAGCCGCGATTAAAATAATCGCGGCTTCATTTAAATTTAAATGGCTGCCCCGATCTGCCGATCAGCTGTTTGTCGGCAGATCGGG